TCTTTGTCGTGCCCCATACATTCCCAGACTTCAACTGTTCTTCACATTCTGGAGCACCTCATCCACACAACTCCACCCAGCCCCACCCTGTCCCACTCCTTTCAGACCGAGGTCTCGAGAAACTTGGCCTCTAGGGACTGGAGTCACTGTGGCCATTCTTGGATGCCCAACCATGCAAAAAGAAGCACTTTGCCTCATTTGTATTCTGCAAGACTGTGATACTGGGAACCAATCTCTGTCCTTACATTGTCACATCCTGCTCTGTCAGGACCTTGAACCGTCAAATTTGTAAATGCTTGTAAGCCACAGAAACAGCAACTGTGTGAACAAAATCCCTTGGAACCAGAGTAAGTGGCATTTGTCTGTTTTCTGTCTCATCAGCTTCTGTTTAGGGCAATTTGTTTTAAGTGCATGCAGCTGGTAGGACTGTAGCCCTCTCAAGTTGTAGGACATTATTTGTTTTTTTTTTGCCTGTCTCCCTGAGGAATCCTGGTGTGGCATTGTGGGCTGAAGCCCTTGACCACAAGGTCAGTTTGAACCACAAGGTTGACAGTTCAAACTCACTAGCCACTCCTTGGAAACTCTTTACAGCGGAACCGCTTCAACAGCACTTGACAATAACAGCATCTCCCTGAAGGTGGTAAATACTTTGAGAGTCATGTGAGCACCTGAATAGCCTATTGATTCATCTGTAAGGCAATAGTTTCTGTACGGCTATATTGAGAATGGGTGGATTTAAAAGACTGGGTGCTCTGATGTGAAATGCTTTTTTTGTTAAAAAGTAGGCTTTCTTAGATGGTGTTTTTGGGTGAATGGTCAAGGAAATTCTGCCCAACATTAGGGGATAACAGATGTTGTCTGTAGAAAGCAATTCAAGAGAAATTGGTATGGGAGAAAATATGGAACAAAACTCAAAATTATTTTGAAAAAAGAAAAAAGATCAGGCTTATTGGTTAGAAAGAGACTGGAGAGATCCAAGACTATGGCCCTGCATCACCCGTCAGGTCTGGAAAGGAACTCACTCTGATGGTATCTAGGGGGGATCAACAGGCAGACCTTATGATTGAGTGCTGTAGGATAAGCACTCAACCATAAGGTTGGTTTGAACCGTGAGGTCGAAGATTCAAACTTACCAGCTATTCCTTGGAACCCTATACAGGGTCGCTATGAGTCAAACCAACTCGATGACACTTAACAACAACAGCACTAATACTACGTGCTCAGCATGGAATCCAAAGGGCAACATTGTGGAATGGCTATATGGACCACAGGGAGGAAGCAGGACAACTGCTGTTGCATGGAGATGGAGGGGACTGAGATCATTGAAAGAAAACAAAGTAAATGATCTGATGAATGTAAAACTGATGATCATGTTTGTAAATCTCACTTGATTCATAATAAAAAGCTAAAAAAAAAAAAAAAAAAAAGAAATTGCTTGTCAAACTTCCCTATGGAAAAGAAAACTAAACATTATATAGGAAGAATTTGTTGTAAGAGGGAAATATTAATTAGGACAAACTGTGCACATGCAAGAGTGATTTAATACTGAATTAATTCTAAAGTTGTTTTGTGCTGTCGAGTCATTTCCAGCTCCTAGCTACCGTGTATAGTTTTCCGAGGAGAGGCTGGTGAGTTTGAGCTGCTGACCTTGCAGTTCATGCTGACTTTGTGGTCCACTGCTTATCCTATAGCGCCACACCAAGACTCCAATTCTAAACTAGAACCAAGGATTCTCAAAACCTCGAATGCTGTCTTTGCAGGATGCAGGATTTCACCCATTCAAAGGCTGACCAGCTGACTTCATAGAATGTGTTCATTCTATTCTAATAATAAACAAGCCAGTCAGAATTTTGTTTTGAATCCAATGTCAAGTAGGAAGAAAGTGCTTCCTTTAACTGTTCCTCCACAAGAGCCTTTCCCCCACCCCTGCCATAGAGTCTATTCCAACTCAAAACTCTCTAAGACAGAGTAGGACAACTCCACTGGATTTCAAGACTGTAAAATCTGTACGGGAGCAGACAACCTCATATTTCTCCCATGGAGCAACTGGTGGATTTGATTTGCCGACCTTGTGGTTAGCAGCCCAATACTTAACCAACTGTGCCATCAGGGCTCCAGAGAGAGCTCTGGAGGGTCCAAAGAAAAATTGGAAGCTTCTAGAAGTTTGCATCATCTACCACCAAGCTGTGCATCATCCACTGATGTCTTCAGTCCCCACCTGAGTAACAGGACAGCTCTAAGCTTTCCAGACTGTGGAACTTAAGCAGTGATATGTTGGTAAATGTTTTAACACCTGGCCCTCCTGAAAACAGGGGACCTGATTTGCAGCATTTGCTAATTACCATTGTGTAAACACTGCCATTGTAATTGATTTTCAGCTACCAATCTGCTGAATGAGGGGACGGGAGGAGATGCCCACGACAGCTCTCCTTAACCAGCTCCAGGACATCACTGGGCCTGGATCTTTTTACTACTACCACTGTCCTTTCTCTGCTCAGAGATTACCAGGCTGGACAATTCTGGGATTGGTGGTTTTCAGGCTCCAGGACTACAGCTAACCACTGTGCAACAACCTTGGAGCCAAATTTTTGCATCAGACTATAGCAGAACTGACAGACTGAGAGATAACTCGACTCGTTTTCTCCTATGTCTCCCTTTAGGGTTAGAGTATGCTGGAATAGTTGCATGGCACCTGACAAGTTGAAGAAACAGCTAATGTGGTTAGGGTTTGGAAGTGAAGAGGCAACTCAAAATGGCACCTGAGGATGCTGACTTGACTTGCCTTCACCTTTGTGAAAAACTCTTATGGGAAACTGGGCTCAGAGAGGCAGCCTTACGCCAGTCACTTTCAGTGCTCCACTAGCTGCTTGCTGCTTCCATTGTCAACTTGCCAGCCCCATAAACGACCTCTCTGCCCTCATCAGCACTGGCATTGGCAGCAGAAATCAGAAATTGCCAAGACACCTTCGTTAGTGACTACAAGCCTGGAAGGAGTGAACATAGATATTTGAGGAGAAGTGAAACTCCCACACTCCCTGTCCTAACAGAAATACTCTCTTCCAAGTGTGCATTAATCTTCAATGACCACTGGAGAAATGTGAGTTCTATAATCAGAAAACATTTGCTAAGTAGTGGAGAAAGAAGAGCACAAGAGCTCCCAGGTTTAAGATGGGAATTATGATGCAGGTACCACTTAATTTACCTAGTTATTATTTAGGTCACACCCATTCAGGTTAGGGATTGAGGATTATAAAATGAAGTTCACATTGAAGGTGATGTAATGTCCTTGTCCATCATTGTCAAGTAAAATTCACTTTCCAGATTAGCTTCTGAGAAGAGAGGTTTCAGAGAGGGTGAGAGACTTGTCTAGGGTCACACAATTGGAGGTTGCATCAAAGCCTATGCTCCCTCTGGGAAGAGGCCTTCAGTAGGTGCATTGGGAAGGGCTGAAATGATGTGCTAAAAGGCAGAGGCTGGGGGAAATGATACAAAGACAAGCTGTCTAGTGGCTCTTCTTGTTTTGTTTTTATTCGTTTCAAGGCATTTATCAATAAGATATCTTGTTAGGTGCTATAGAGTCCATTTGAACTCATAGTGACCCTGTGTCCAACAGACTGAAACACTGCCCAGATATGGGCCATCCTCACAGTTGGGGCTATGTTGGAGCCCCTTGGAAGTCACTGAGTCAGTCCATCTCACTGAGGGTCTTTCTCTTTTTCATTGACCTTCTACTTTATCAAGAATGATGTCCTTCTCAGATACTAGTCCCTTCTGAGAACATGTCCAAGGTATGTGAGATGAAGTCTCACCATCCTCACTTCTAGAGAGCAGCATTCTGGCTATACTTCTTCCAAGACAGATTTGTTTGTTCTTCTGACAATCCATGCCATATTCAATATTCTTTGCCAACACCGTAATTGAAAAACATCAATTATTTTTACTTCTTCCTTATTCATCACCGAGGGTTTGAAAGCATATGAAACAATTGAAAATACCTAGCAGAAGTTCCGTATCATGAACATCACCTCTTGGATCAATCATCTTTGACCCTCCAGCTTTCTCTTCTTCTCTGTAGGTCACCCCACTTCTGCCCCGTGTATACCTGATGAGCCCTCATGGTGGCTCTCACGGTACGGAGTTACCTATAGACCTACCTACTTGTACACATATGGCTTTGTGATGTGGGTCAAACTCAGTCTACTCATGTGCCCTCTCAACCCCTACTTACAAAGCGATGGGGTTGGCCTCTTGGCATTTTGCAATAGTATCACTATTAGAATAATTACTGCATTGTACAACATCCTTGGCCCTGTCTACCAAATGAAAATAGCATTCCTCATTCCTTTTGGCAACAGCAACAAAAACCTTACATTTTTTACAGTGCTTAGGAGTGCTATGTACCTATGGTTGAGAACATTTCTAGACTACAAAGACCTGTTTACACACCGTCTTGTGGACCCACAGTACAAAGTCATCACTCCAGTATCAGAGAAAGGACAGCTCAGTGGTATCAGAAATGGGCTTCAGAGTGATGCATACTCTTAGGAGCTGTGTGTCCTTGGGAACACTCTGAATCTCTGTGTCATCACTTCTAAAATGGGAAACAGTAATCACATCTTCTCACAGGTTCTCTAACACTAAGTCCATTGCGTCACCCCTAGGAAGTGCTTAGGAAGCATCAGTCTGAATAGTGAGGTAAGTCGGCTTTGCATCTGCTCTCCACATACAGCACTCATCCTTCACAACACTCATGTCAAAGTTATTCAGTTAATGCTTTGTGTACTCATTTGTTTATTACCAGCACCTCTAGTTTAACTAGAGGACCTACGTATCCCTTGTTCTCCATTGGGTTCCTAGGAGATGGTACACATTAGGTGCTCAACAAACATATGTCAAGTGGTTAAAGAAATGTAACCATTGTCTTATCTTTGTTGTCCAGAGCTCACTGCCTTTAACAGTCAAACAAACACAAAAACAATTGTCTAGTAGGAGCAGCCAGGATGGAAACAGCAGCTACCCCACAGGACTATGGCACGACCACGGAATTTGACTACGGAGATGCAACACCATGTATGAAGACAGACGTGAAGGCCTTTGGGGACCAACTCCTTCCCCCTTTGTACTCACTGGTGTTTGCCATTGGCCTGGTCGGTAACATCCTGGTGGTCCTGGTCTTAATGCAATACAAGAGGCTCAAAAACATGACCAGTATCTACCTCCTCAACCTGGCAATTTCTGATCTGCTCTTCCTTGTCACGCTGCCCTTTTGGATTGACTATAAACTGAAGGACAACTGGGGTTTTGGCAATTTCATGTGCAAATTACTCTCAGGATTTTACTACATAGGTTTATACAGCCAGATCTTTTTCATCATTCTGCTGACGTTCGACAGGTACCTGGCCATTGTCCATGCTGTGCTTGCCCTGCGAGCCCGGACCATCACCTTTGGCATCATAAGCAGCATTGTCGCCTGGGTCTTGGCCATCTTGGCAACCATCCCCGGCTGGCAGTTTTCCAGGGAACAGAAGGAGGTCAGTCGTTATACCTGCAGCCTTCACTTCCCTGTAAAAAGCTGGAAAACATGGAAACAGTTCCAGGCTCTGAAACTGAACATCTTGGGACTGATTTTGCCTCTGTTGGTCATGATTGTCTGCTACACAGGGATTATAAAGATTCTGCTCAGACGACCGAATGAGAAGAAGACCAAAGCTGTCCGTCTGATATTTGTCATCATGATTATCTTCTTCTTCTTTTGGAGCCCCTATACTCTGACTATGTTAGTGTCTGCTTTCCAAGACTCTCTTTTCACCTATGAGTGTGAGCAGAGCAAGCAACTGGACTTGGCCATCCAAGTGACAGAGAGTATCACCTTCATGCACTGCTGCATCAACCCCATCATCTATGTCTTCGTCGGGGAGAGGTTCCGGACATACCTCCACCACTTGTTCCACAGGCTAGTCACTGTGCACCTGGCTAAATGGCTTCCCTTCCTTTCCACGGAGAGGTTGGAGAGGGTCAGCTCTGTGATTCCTTCCATAAGGGAGCATGAGCTTTCAGAGGTGCTCTGACTCAACCCCTTGTGACTGAGCCAGGATTCAGTAAGAGTGACCTGCAGCCATAGTGTCCTGGGAGGAGAAGCACTTCACTCTCCCAGACAAGTATTTGACCCCTGACACCAACACGGACTCACAGTCTTTTTGGATTGAGAGGGAGTTTGCTTCAAAGTTGTCTAGATGAAATCACTTTTTGGACTTTCCTGAGTCTTTTCCATGAACTTCTCCTTGGTGAAAGGGAGATGAAGGAGTAAAGTGGGGCATACCAGAAGACTGGGACAAAGAATTTGAGCTAAAGGCTAAGGATTTCAGATGTGTGCACATGAACATTTGGAAACCAAGCCTCTGCCGCAGCTCCTCAATGAACTTGAAAACAGTGATTTCCTTTGATGACATCTCTCTGAACCCCAGAGCCAATGTGTAGCCATCAGTAGTTCCTCCCAGCCAAACCTCCCAACCTCTGCCTTCACTGATGGCTTTGGACTCTTGGAAACTTAGGGGAACACAGAAGTCATGATGGACTTGATATCTAATGGGAAATAAGATTTGGGAAATGGTTTTGAAAATGGAACAAGAAGTCCCTTAGAATTTGATAGTCCCTAAAAGCAAACAATTTATGCAGACAAAACCACATACATATAACAAGTGCTTCTTGAAAACACCATCTTAAGGGCTGAACAGAAGGACTCAGTATTTCCAATTACCATTTTTCTCTCTCTGTATATTTTTCCAGACTTTTCCTTCCCTGGAAGCTAGATCATGTGGAAATAAAATCTTATGACTTTATGGCAAAATTTAGCACCAGGGAAACAGAGGCAAGATGGGTGTTCTAGATTCAGGGATCAGAACACAGCTCCCACACTGGCACCACCAGCATGTAAATGGCCCGTGGTCTAACCCAACTGTGTGGCTTAAGGAAGGAACATGCCTAGAAGGAAGATGCCTACCTTTGCAGGTAGCTGAAGTGCCAGCTCGCTGTCTTAACGTAAAGGTTGAGAGGGTCTCTGGTTCAAACTAACTTTACCCAAAATGTCCTTAACGTTTCATCTCTGTTGATTATGTCTTTGTTCCCTTTTCCTTCAGATAAATGTTTTTTTTAAAGTTGAATAGCCCAAACCATAGGCTCTGAGGATCAGACTTTAGCCACCTAGCAGACATAGGAAAATGTCCCTTATCTGATTATTCAGATATGCTGGTTAGTAACTCCATGCATGAGCCCTGGATACCCACAGATAAATGTAAAAACCTTCCCTAAAAGCCGAGACTGTAAATTCCAAAAAGGCAAAGCTTTTCCCAGAAAAAAAAATCTAAAGAGGATAGAGAGAAACTCTGTTAACTGATGGTATGTGGAGGGGATTATAATCAATGTAATGAAACAAAGTATATGAATGTTTGAATGTGAAACCAATGATGTGCCCTGAAAACTTTCACTCAATCCACAATAAAAACCTTAAAAAAAAAAAAAAAGTTGAATAGCAAAGAATGTTTTTCAGAAAGCTTGAAAACACAAAAGGTAAACAAACAGGAAAATCACCCATAATCCTACTGGCCAAAGACAACCACTATACATTTTACTATGTGTTTTTTCTCCATATGTATTTGCAATTATAACAAAAATGGGTTTCAAAGGTACTCAGTTATTTTGTTGTTTTTAGTTAGCAATACATTGTTATCACTTTCCTAGGTCAATAAATTATTTCAAAGCATTGCTTTTGGTGCCTGCACTGAATTCCATGGTAAGGAATCACCCTAAGTTACTCTACCCGTCTCCCCAGTATGACTTGCACAAATCCATCTAACCCAGCAATAGTGGCAGAAGGCCTGCTTAATTCTGAGCTCCCTGAGCCCTTATAAACAGAGATGGATGCCAGGTGTTTGTTCTCAGGAGGCAGACAGACTTGGATGCCAACAGTGCCTACAGTCTGGGGGGTGGGGCTGCTGTGATGCTCATGGTGCCCGCACAGAGAAGGGGAGGAAGGACTCCGCTAGGCACAAGGCGCCTCACACCTTCTGACGCAGTGACACCATTGGCATGGATGCTCTGCTTTTCTAGACACGAGGCTTGTGCTCTTATCAAGCCCTTGTTTTTGTTGTTAAGTACCGTGGAGTCGGTTCCAACTCATAGTGACCCTGCACAGGGTTTCCAAGGCTGTAAGTCTTTACAGGAGCAGAAAGCCTCATCTTCTCCCGAGGAACCACTGGTAGTTCGAACTGCCGACCTTGAGGTTACCAAGCCCTTAGGTAGAGACTAACTTGTGTGTATGGCTCTGGGTGTGACGCTGAGTGATAAGCACTGGACTTCTAACAGCAAGTTGGTGGTTGAAACCCACCAGGTGTCTTGGAAACCCTATAGAGGGTCACTGTGAGTTAGAATGCACTCGATGACACTTAACAACAGCAGCTCGTGTGTATAGGGATGAAATCCTGAGTTCACATGGCGTTTTTCTAAACATTTGCATGGAAGGAAGGACATCATAGTGCATTGGAGTTATATAACCAAAGCCCATTTTGACTTACAGGCTTAAATGTTGATAGGTATTATTGAGTTGTTTCCAACTCATAACCACCCTGTATAGGGTTCCTGAGGAGCGACTAGTGGGTTTGAATTGCTGACCTTTCGATCAGAAGCCTATACTATACTGATCCTGTAGTACAAGCTTTGGGAATTAAAGATGCATGTCAGCTCTCCACTCATAAACCTCCCATTCCTTTCTGCAGAGTGGAGAACAGGAGACTTATTTGAACTAAGAAACATTTGTCTACTACTTTGGGAAAATAGTAAAGATAAAATTGCATCAAAACACAATAGTTGATCCACAACAGGCACAGTATCATAATGAAGACTTTTACAACATCCCATAATTCCACATTAAAAGAATTGCTCACTGTTCTTCTTTTCCTTATTACTAAGGTAATATCTGCTAGCGTACTGGTTATGAATTGGGATGCTAATCTCACAGTCAGCAGTTCTAAACTACCAGCTGTTTCATGGGAGAAAGATCAGGCGTTCTGCTCCCGTAAAGACTTACAGCCTCGGAAACCCTGTGCAGGGTCGCTATGGGTCAGAACCGACTCCACGGCACCTAACAACAACAACAACAAGGTCATATCTATCTGTTGTAGAAAACAGAGGCACCCAACTAGTTCCTCTCTTAGATAGTTAGGATTTCAGTGCATTTCCTTCCAGTTTTGTTTTCAAATGCACATACACAAAGTCTGACATATCGTAAGCACTTGGTAAATGCTGGTAGGTGAATTACATTCTGAGCCTCAATTTCCTCATTTATGAAGTGAGGATAAGACCAATTCCTGCCTCATGGAACTGTTCTAAAGACTATATGAAATTAAGCCAGGCAAGTGGGGCCATCTTTCTCCAGCTTTATCAGATAACCAGTCAGACATCTGCTCCCTGCCAGGACCCCTCCTTGGTCAAGGCACCGTCAGTTCTTTCTGATTGGCTCCCTCCTTACCATCACCTCCCATCCCTGATCCTGCAGGACTCACCTCCATGCTCGTTGTTGCTGTTCTTATTGTTCCCATTGCAACTTTATAGACGAGATGCCAGACTCACCCACCCAATTCCCAGTTCCCTCCAGCCAGATTCCCCGAATGTCAACATTGTACCACATTTCCCCTAACTTCACTGGCTCTCATTTTCTCTCTCCCTTCTCCTCTCTTCATATATGGACAAATGTACATATAGAGGATAGACACAGTATAGTCAGGGACTTAGAGGCGGATACAAACGCATGCGGTGGAGCTTCAGTGCCTTCTACCCAGGTTTCTTCAGTGGTAGAATTCTTGCAGAGATCCAGGTGTGATTCCCTGCTAATGCAGCCCATGCACAACCACCATCCATCCCTCATTGGAGGCTTGCATGTTGCTACGATGTTGAGCAAGTCTCAGTCGAGCTTCTAGATTAAGGTAAACTAGGAAGAAAGACTTGGTGATCTATTTCCAAAACTCGTACAGTAAAAAACCCTATGGAACAACAATAACAACAACAACAAAAAACACCCTATGGATCACAACAGTTGGATCCTTGATCAATCATAGGGATGGCACAGGGCTGAGCAGCTTTTGATTGCATTGTGCATGGGGTTTCCAAGAATCAGTGACTATTTTGACAGTAGCTAACAACAACAGTAGCTATGGATATACGTATGGTATCGGTCTAGATACCTATGTACGCATAGGCATGAGTATAAGTGTAGACAATAAGGAAAGATGCTATTTTTTTCCCTAAAACTCTTTGAAATTAAGCCGCAAATATGCCTCCTCACCCTTTAGTACTCCAGAGGGTTTCTCTAATAACAAGAACACTCTCCCACATAATCACTTTCAAATTTCTAGCCCTTGTTCCAATTTTGCTACCTCGTTGATGATGTCCTTTCTAGTCCTACCCTCTGGGAACAACTGCTGACTGGCCATGCTCCTCAGGGTTTTCTTGACCTCTGCTTTTTGAAAGTCGACAGTTACTGGAAGGTGGTCCTTTGGCTTGGGTTTACCTGATGTTTCCAGATAATTCAACTCAAGTTATGCAACGATGGCAGATATTTCACAGAAGGGATGCTACCTTCTCGGTGCTTCATATCTGGAGACAAATACAGTCTGTCTGCTCCATGACTGGAGATGCTGACCTTTATGATTTGCTTAAGATGGTGCCTACCACGTTTCATGTTTTGTACTTATTAATGAATGACAAGCACTGGTTGACAGGACAAACCCACCAGCTGCTTCTTGGAAACTCTATACTGGGCTCCTCTGAGTCAGAACCGACCCGATGGCATGTAACAACAACAAGTTATTATTTGAGATTCTACTGTGAAGTAGAAATTTCTCTTCTTCCCCACTTATTTATTTATGCATTTAAGTATTCCTTTTTTAATTCATTCAGAAGTTGTCTAATATTGGCATTATTTATTTTAACACACACACTGTCCCAGACTTATAAAGTGGGAGCCCCTTCAAACGGACTCTTATGTCCTTTTGCTCTGTTCCCAATCAGTTTTGAA